GACGGGAGGAGGAGAGGGGCCCGCGCTGACGCCCCTCTCCCCCAGGGTTTCTTCAAGCGCACGGTGCAGAACAACAAGCACTACACGTGCACCGAGAGCCAGAGCTGCAAGATCGACAAGACGCAGCGCAAGCGCTGTCCCTTCTGCCGCTTCCAGAAGTGCCTGACGGTGGGGATGCGTCTGGAAGGTGCGCTCGCCCGCGCCGCGGCCTCAGGCGGCCTCAGACCCGTGACCTCCAGCAGAGCAGAGCCGGGTGCGGGTGGGTGGGAGCGGGTGAGGGAGGGAGCCACCGCCCCTCCTAAAGTTTCCGGGGCCTGGGGGACACTAGAGCCGATCTCTTGGGAAGGGGGAAGAACTGGCCTCGCTCTGGCCGGGGAGGGGTGTATGCAGGACCAGCCAGAGTTGCGTTAAAAAATACCTGCATGTGAACCGCGGGTCCCCCAAAGGGCCCAGCAGCACAGGGCAGAGCCCCGCAGAGCTCCTCCCTCTGCGAAAGGTTCTGCAATTCCTGCTCTGACACCGCCTCCAGCCGGAGTCAGCCTCTGCTTTGCTGGAGGTCAAGTCCCAAGCCTGTCCCTTAGACATTAGGCAAGTTCCGCTCTGACCTGCAGGTTCCCCGTCTGCAAAATGGGCTTCAGAGCAGTGCCTGACTCATTGGATGGGTGTGAGGGAAGTGTATGAATAGCTCCTAGCACCCTGCCTGGTACATGGTCAGTGCTCAACGGGTTTGCTATTATTCTTATCATTCTTGGTCATTACCTGTCTGTCATTGCTATTTAGCCCTCATTCATACAGCCTACCTGTCCATCCCAACAATTCACTCAGTTCATTCTCTCAGCGGGTGAGAGCCCCGCCCCCAACCGCATACTTTTAGCCAGACCTGGAGAGGGCTGGGGAATGGGGTGCCATTGCCCCCAGAGGTCCCAGGCCCCTCTTATCTCCCCACCCTCACCCCAGCTTTCAGTTCAGAGGGGAGGAGAGACATTTCAGCAGTAAGGACTCAAGCAAGCTCTTTGAGGGTGGACAGTCATAGGCTTCCACCCTGAGGGTTCCCTCTGAGCTGTTCGCCCAGCAGGCAGCTGTTGGCTAGAGTTTTTAAACAACGAAGAAGGGCCCTAGTGACTCAGAGCTGCAGACCACTGTCTTCCACACAGCAGTTCTCAACCTGTGGGTCTCAACCCCTGAAAATACATCCTGCATATCAGATATTTACATGACGATTCATAATGGCAAAATTACAGTTATGAAGTAGCAACGAAAATAATTTTATGGTTGGGGGTCACCACAGCATGAGGAACTGTGTTAAAGGGTCGAGGCATGAGGAAGGTTGAGAAACTCCTATTCTGTCCCCAAAGCCCATGTCCCCAGATCCAGGTCCTGAGTGGCTAAGAGAGCTGGTTGCTGTGAGCAGCAGAAACTCCTGGTGGGGCCTGAGGTTTCAGAGCAGGGCTGCCCACCCCTGGCAGCACGGTGGGCTGGGCAGGCCCCCAAGTCTGCCTCTCCCTCCTACTCCCTCTATCTTCCCAGAGCTCAGGGTGGGGTCCCTGTCGGAGCAGGGGCTGGGCCGCACTGGAGCTTCAGAGATGCGACCTTTAGGTCTGGCTGGTGACATATTCTGGGCCAGGCAGAGGGACACCTTGTCAGCAAGGGAGGTCCCTTCCCCCAGCACAGAGCCTGGACAGCCCTAAAATGAGCTTCAAATTTTTTTAAAAAATATATTTTATTGGTTTTTCACAGAGAGGAAGGGAGAGGGATAGAGAGTTAGAAAAATCAATGAGAGAAACATCGGATCAGCTGCCTCCTGCACACCCCCTGCTGGAGATGTGCCCGCAACCCAGGTACATGCCCTTGACCGGAATCGAACCTGGGACCCTTCAGTCCTCAGGCCGACACTCCATCCACTGAGCCAAACCGGTCAGGGCTAAGCTTCAAATTTGAAAGTGAACATGAGTCGTTTTGCAACAGGGGTTTGCCAGAGTTAACTAGTCAGTCAGTGAGCAGCTGGATACTGGTCAGCTGCGAGCAAAGTTGTCCAGTCCCTACTTCCCGTCACTGTCTCCCTGCCAGTCCCTGTGCTGGGGACCTGGCCCGTTGCAAAGCCCCCAGGAGCTCTCAGCCTGGGGCCCATGGCTGGATGCCACTCAGCAGGATGAGAGTGGGCAAGGGGCAGGACATCCGGGGCTAGGACAATGGATTCTGCCTGGGCGAATCCAGGAATGCTTCCTGGAGGTGGTGACCTGAGGGCTGGGTGTTCATCAGGCAGATGAGAAGGAAAGGGTTTGAGGCAAAAGGACTATCAAAGGGAGGGTGGAGGAAGTGACAGGCTGAGGAGCAGAGAGATGAATATGGTGGAGTGGAAAGAACACAGGGTCTCCTGAGGGACCACCTAGAAAGGGGAACAGGGCCCGAGGGAGCCATCACAGGGTACTGAGCTGGGAGTGACACAGGCAGAGCTGTTTGGGAAAGACCTGGAGTGGGTGGTCTGGAGGGTGAGCCTGACCCCCGCCTCTGCCCACAGCTGTCCGTGCTGACCGCATGCGTGGTGGCCGGAACAAATTCGGGCCCATGTACAAGCGGGACCGGGCCCTGAAGCAGCAGAAGAAGGCACAGATTCGAGCCAATGGCTTCAAGATGGAGACAGGCCCCCCAGCGGGGGTGCCCCCACCCCCACCTCCCCCGCCGGACTACTTGCTACCCCCTGGCCTGCACGCGCCAGAGCCCAAGGGCCTGGCCTCTGGGCCTCCTGCTGGGCCGCTGGGCGACTTTGGGGCCCCAGCACTGCCCATGGCCGTGCCCGGTGCCCACGGGCCCTTGGCCGGCTACCTGTATCCTACCTTCCCTGGCCGTGCCATCAAGTCTGAGTACCCAGAGCCCTACGCCAGCCCGCCACAGCCCGGGCCGCCCTATGGCTACCCAGAGCCCTTCTCCGGAGGGCCTGGCGTGCCTGAGCTCATCCTGCAGCTGCTGCAGCTGGAGCCAGATGAGGACCAGGTGCGGGCGCGCATCCTGGGCTGCCTGCAGGAGCCGGCCAAAGGCCGCTCCGAACAGCCTGCGCCCTTCAGCCTGCTGTGCAGGATGGCTGACCAGACCTTCATCTCCATCGTCGACTGGGCACGCAGGTGCATGGTCTTCAAGGAGCTGGAGGTGAGTCCCTCATCCCCCCTGCCCGGCAGCTGGCTCTGGGGTGTCCTCTAGGCTGCCCAAGCCTCAGCCTCGGTCACCCCTGGGAGGGGGCCGTCCTGCCCACTGGCGAAGGCCCTGTCTGGCAACAGGAGGCGTGAGGAGCACTTCTGGTCCTTTGCAGCCTTCCTTGCCTCCCCACTCCTCTCCTCCCTCTCTCTCCTCTATTTTTTGAGTCTCTATCTTTCACAGCCTTTGCTTCTTTTATCTCTGCCTCTCTCTCTCCTTCTCCCTCTCGCTCTCCCTCTCCCGGGTGTGCTGTCTCTCTGCTTCTCTGTGTTTCTCCAGCCCTTTTGGTCTCCCTGTCTTTTTCTCTCCTGGTCTGGGTCTCTACAGGCACTGATCTCCCTTCCTCTGAGACCCTAGGCTCCCAAAGGGCTAGCGAAGTCCTGGGAGACGGTCTCAGGCTGCCCCAGCCCCACGTCAGGGAGAGGGTCCACCCTCCCCGTCTCTCCCTGTGGAGAAGCCACCGATCCCCGCCAGCCTCAGATGTCATAGGGGGGAGTCTCGGTGTCTCGGAGTTTGGAATGCTCATGGGCCTGATTCCCAGCCAAGGTGAAGGGGCTATTGTCCCTGCCTCTCTCCTGCACAGTGGTTGGTCCCATGTGTATGTGTATCTGCCTGTTTGTGGGTGTGTGTGTGGGGGGGGGGGCGAGTGAGAGGGCAGGTGGAGATTGCAGGGCCTGCACAATCCAGAGGAGGCCGGCTTCCTCCACTGCTCAGCCCTCCACCCGCCTGGGCTGAGGTACCTACAGCTAAGGCGGCAGGAGAAACTGAAGCCAGACGAGGAAGAACTTGCCAGTCACCTTGCCTAGTGGTTTGGAGGGCCCACGGCCTGGCAGCTGTCTCTCTAGCACCCTGACTCCCTATGATCAGAGTGTGCTGCCAACCTCAGAGGCACCCCAAATCCAGCCAAGGCCCGACACCCAGGCCTGGGCACAGGCCCTCGTTAGCCCAGGCCTACTGGTGTTTGCCTTGCCTGGGGCCAGCCCTCCTAGCTGTTCCGGGGCGGGGTGTAAACAGCAGGACCCGTCGCCCTCCCTGCTGGGGCCACGGCAGCCTTGAGCAGCACTCAGTGCTGACGCCACTCAGGCCTGGGCTTCCTCCAGGGGCAGGTGGCCGGATGGGCCGGGGGCGCTGCCTGCCAGGCTGGGCATAGGGGCGGGGGGGGGGCAATTAGGTGAGGATGGGCACGAAGCCCTTGAGGCATCATGGGGCCGGAGGCCTGGGTTACTCTGGGAGTCAAGAACCGGCGGTGATTTGATAGCCAAGGGCCTATCTTGGCTGAGGCCGGGGACATGCCAGGTGTCATGGGTGGGTGGGTCCTTTCACCCCTGCCTCCCGTCTGGGCTGCCCGCATAGATGGGACAAGAGACGGGGCCTTGAACAGCCCCACCTGCCTGCTACTCATGGCTGGAGGCCCTGGTGGGGATGAGGATCCCAGGACCCTTGGGTTGGTGGCCAGACCTCCCATGAGCCCCTTGTGCAGAAGGGAGGAGGAGCGGAGCATTCCCGGCCTTCCAGAACCCTGGATCCAGGGGCAGGGCACTTCCTCTGGCCGCTTTCCTAGTCTCTCGGGGTTTTTCACGCAGGATGGGAAGGGCTTTTGTCCCAGCTTTGCTGAGTGTTTTTTCCTGCTTCTGGCTTCTCTGTGGTCCAAACCTTCCTGCTTCCCCTTCCCAGAGCCTCTGAATTGAGCCCAGGAATCTGAACCATGGTCCCCACCCTCTGTAAGGGAGCCTTGCAGATACGTACCAGCCCAGCCCTTAGAGGGCCCCTCAGAAGCCGCAAAGAACTCGTTTCCCACTGGGCCACCTGCCACAGGAGGGGAGGCAGAGAAGTGGGAGGGTTGCTGAGTGACCTGTCCTCCCTTTTGGCCGACCGTGCATCCCCCTGGCTCCAGGCAGGATACATTTCAGCAGACAGCAAAGGGGGCTCCCTAGCTCTGGGAGCCGGGCAGCCCTTGAGCTGGGCGCTGGGCACCTTGGACCCAGGAGGCTGCCAAACTAGAGGAGGAGACAGACATACATGCAGATGATGCCCACACAGGGTGCCCAGGGCCCTGAGAGCAATGGAAAGGGGGATGCAGATGATGCCCACACAGGGAGCCCAGCGGGAGAGTGGAACGCCCTAAAGAAGTTAGGGAAGGTTTCTTTGGTCCGTGCTTTTCCAGAACACACCTGAGAAGGTGCAGGCATTTCAGCAAGTGGGAGCACATAGGCTAAGGCCCAGCGTGGAAGGCATCCTGTGTCAGGGAGCTCCAGGGGACCATGGGGCGGGGCTGGAGAGGTTGGCAGGGCCAGAAGCAGAGCTTGGACCCGTGGGTGATGGGCCAGGCTGGCTGGAGCCCCACACCCTCTTCCCCGGGGCCACTCAGCTCTCTGTGAAACTAATGACGTCCCAATGTTTATCGAAGGCCTGGGTCTTTGCTGCGCTGTCAGGGGTGCTGGGGGCTCAGATGTTGGGGCTCCAGATGCCCCTTTGGGGTTCTCCTCCTCCATCCTGTCTCTCAGCTTGGATGTCCCTCTGCCTCCATTTTTCCATCTCACACATCAGGGCCTGTTAGGTCTGACAGTGGCACTGAAGTGAATAGCAACAGCCAGAATCAGAGAGACCTGGGTTCAAGTCCTCGCTCTGCCACTTTCCAGGTGTGGGGCTTTGGGCAAGTCACTTTACTCCTCCGGAGCTCCACTTCCTTATCTGTAAAAAGGGGAGAGTTGAAACAGATTCCACCCTGTAGGGCTGTTGTAAGGATTTAGTGAGTGAGGAGGGTAGAGCATTTAGCACAGGGAGCAGCGTTCCCCTCCTGACCGGCTTCTTTGCTGCTCCGTGATTCACTGTGTGCGTGCAGGTGGCGTGCGGCCTGGTTTAGGAAGCGTGGGGAGACACCTGGAGACCATGCTCCCTGGGCACTGGAGTTCTGGGAGGAGATGGGGCCCACCTGGCCCTGCCCAGGTAGTGGAAACCCACCTGTACCTGCTGCTCAGTGGGGGGCAGTGCGCAGGCCCAGCCGGCCAGCCTGTCTGCACAGCTCGCAGGAAGGACAGGCTGGGGGGATGCAAGATAGGAATCAGCGAGGGGAGGCGAGGGCCAGGAGTGCCTAATGACCCATCTGGACATCACTTCACCCCGACATCCAGCTCTGAGGCCCCCGACTGGCAACAGGTTTCGCTGCTCAGAAATACGGCTTCATCTAAGCAGCAGTAACTCTGTCAGTCCTGGACTGACAAACGGCCGGCCCGCCGGCCCCTGGGCCGGAGAGCATTCTCCATCTGAAAGGCTCCGGAGGGGGGCCTGCTGGGAGGGAGGCCAGCTCTGCACCCATAAATACCCCGTCTCCGAGGCAGGCTGCAAGTGTCAAGGCTCCAGGAAGATTTGTGGCCGACAGCAGGAGGGACGGGCGGTGGTGGGCCGGGCGACAGGCCAGGCTGACGAGGGACCCCAGGGCCTGGGCGGCAAATGCCTTGTTCCCCGGGCGGGCGGCAGGGCGGACTGGGGCAGAGGAGGAGCCTTTTGCTTCGGGAGAAACTTGTGGAAGGTGAAACCAGCCCTCTTCGGTTAAGTGAGCCTCTTAGCCACCTGCTTTCCCACAAAGAGGGGGCTGGCGGCTGCGGCCTCTGTTGGTTTTATTTTAATAGAAACAGAAGAGTGTGTGTGTTCATCTGTGTGGGGAGGTTGGTGTCTTTATGTGTCCATCTGTCCATGGAGGGGAAGTGCGAGTGAAGGGTCTGGCAGGAACGACTGCCCGGCTGGGGGCACTGCCGTGGCCCCCAGAGCCCCCCGACCGACGGCACTGCGGCCGCTCGTTTTCTCTGACCCAAAGCGGCTGGGAACTCGGCGCAGAGACGGACGGGTGGCCCAGTGGGAAGTCATACAGAGGGCACTGGGCGCCAAAGCTTAGCCACCGTGCTGCCCGCCTGCGCCCCTGCAGCTCCTATCACCCCGCTGGGCAGGGCCACCCCCACCCCGGGCCTGAGGTCTGGGTACAGAGTCTGCTGCAGGGCTTGGCCAGCGGGTCAGGGTGACCCCTTCTGCTTTCTGCCCAGGGCTCAGCCCGCTTATCTCCTAATTCTCCCCCTTATCTCTCGCTCTCCCCTCTTCCCACCCCCTGTTCCTCCTAACCAGGCACAAGGGTGTCTGCTCCCGAGGGCCCCATGGGTGGGGGCCAAGCCCAGCCCTGCATGTCCTCCCTTCTCCTCTGCCTCCAACGGGGTCACCCAGGTTGGGCCAGTGTGGCTCCTGGGCTGGTCCCAACGACTTGGGCCTCAGGCAGTTCCCGGCCCCCTCCCCCTCCCAAGATGAGCCTAGTTCGGGGGCATCTGGGCAGAGCCCAGCTCCCCGAGTTGCCCGAGGTGAGCCTCCGTGTCCCTCTCTGGAATAGGGGCCGAACGTTGCCAGGGCAGGGGTGAGGGGTCCCGGCTCAGCCGGGGTCGGGGCCTGGTCGTAGGCGCCCACCAAGCCTTGCCTCCTCCCTGGGGTGGGTGGGGAGGCCTCCTGCCAGCTCTCTGGGCCTGGCCCCTGCGGAGGACAGAGGAGGCGAGGCAGGGAGGTTTCATGCTTCACCCTCACTCGGTTCTCCATCTCCCCGGCCCCTGCCGCCCAGGCGAGCTGTGGCTGAGCTGGGGGACCCCTGGCTGGGTTCCTGTTCGGACAATAATGGGGCTCTAGGAAGAACTTGGTCCTGAGAGGAGAGAGAGGTTTGGGTTCTTGACATGAAGATGGGATGAGGCAGGGAGGCTGGGAGGCTGGGGACTCAGAGCAGGACAGAGACTGACCCCCGCCTGCCCTCAGCCGTGCCCTCAGCCGTGCGCGCTGGGGAAGGGCGGGCAGGGAGGCCTGGCTGTGTGTCCTGCTGCTCGCTCTGCTCTTTGCCCAGTTCGTGTTGCCCAGGACTGCCCCCAGGAGAGGAGGGGAACAGAGAGGAGGAGGGGCTTCTACCCCACAGAAAAGGAAGCTCAGGCCAGGGGCTGCCTGGCCCCTCTGCCCTCCGGGTTGGGGTGGCTCCTCTGTGCTCTCTGTGGCTGTCTTGGGGAGCACATGCTTGTCCATCAACTGCTCACTGACGCCTCCTCTGGGGGCCCAGTCCTGCCTTCCCGGGTCCCACAGGTACTGGGGAAACAGAGGCATGAATAATGCCATCAGATGTGGCAGGTGCCACATCCAGAGGACGGTGAGGGCACCGAGCAAGGAGGAAGGATTGGTGAGGGCTTCCTGGGGGAGGCAAAGAGCCTACATGAAACCCTGGGTGGCAAGGGGGGGTCTTAGTCCATGCTGGGTGGCTAGGAGCACCATCTGCAACCAGACAGAGCTGTGTGACCCTCTGTGGACATCTGTGGGCTCATACCTCTCTCCATAGATGGGACAACAGTTACACCAACCTCAGGGTTATGGAGCTGCAGTCCAGCGGCTGTCAGCTGTCATGGTTTGTGTTCGCTCTCAGGCGGCACCCAGGAAGGTGCCCAGAGGTATCTGCTGGTCAATGGTGGCTGGCTGGTGAGCTGCAGAGGCGGAGAGGAACCGGGGTCTGTGCTGTGTCTTCCTAGGGCAGTGATGGCGAACCTATGACACGCGTGTCAGAGGTGACACGCCAACTCATTTTTTGGTTGATTTTTCTTTGTTAAATGGCATTTAAATATATAAAATAAATATCAAAAATATAAGTCTTTGTTTTACTATAGTTGCAAAGATCAAAAAATTTCTATATGTGACACGGCACCAGAGTTAAGTTAGGGTTTTTCAAAATGCTGGCACGCCGAGCTCAAAAGGTTCGCCATCACTGGGCTAGGGTGACCTACAGCCCCAGTGCCGGCTCTGAACAACCAGGAGGGCTCAGTATTTGTCACTGTGGGGAGTAGTGCACTGAGAGCAGCAGCTATGGCCCTGGCCTGTGATCCCAGGAGGGTCCCTCACCCTCTCCAGGAGTTTACATCAGGGCATCCCTCCTGGCTTTCTCATCACGTGGCTCTGAGTCCCACCCCCCAGCTATGAGTGTCCACTCTGGCCATGTTGAATGCATGACTCCCCAGAGCACAGGGCGCTTGCCCAGGGCAGTCCCCGCCCTTACACTGAGTGCCCGCCCGCAGCCTGAGTGTTTACACCCTGTGCTGTTACTGTTCAGCGGTCAGACCTCTGCCCTCACTCCTGGGGCAGGGCCAACGGCCCTCCTTTCTTGTCCTGGGCCCCAGGGCTCTGCTCGAGGCCCAGGGAAATCCTCTGTCTCTCCTCATGAGTGATGGGAGCTGCTAGAGATGTGACCGCAGGCCAGATGGGCACAAGTTCAAATTAATATTGCTCTTCCCTTGCATTGGAATGAGTCCTTCTCAACGCACTCCTGTGGCTAAGCGCACCAGCATGGATTGAGTGCTGTGGGCCAGGCCGCTTCCTAATATGCTGCCCATTTTACAGATGAGACCACTGAGGCCCAGAAAGGTTACAGAACTTGCTGAAGGTCATACAACTTGTAAGAGGCAGAGCCGGGGCCTGCAGCCAGCCCTCCTATTCTTTTGCTAGAGCCCTGCCACACTTTGATGAGGTAGACAGGTGGGCAGACTGGGCACAGAGAAGTTGAGCAGCTTGCCCAGGTCACATACCCAGTGGAGCCTCGGCACTGAGAGTTGGAAGAGGAGGGGTGAGAGGAAGGTCCCCAGCCAGGCCATGCTGGATGCAGACCCGTGTGCCACCTCCTTGCAGGTGGCCGACCAGATGACGCTGCTGCAGAACTGCTGGAGCGAGCTGCTGGTGTTCGACCACATCTACCGCCAGATCCAGCACGGCAAGGAGGACAGCATCCTGCTGGTCATCGGGCAGGAGGTGACCGACGCTGTGCCCTGCCCCCGCCCACTGTGCACTCCCAGGATTCCGGGCCTACAAGAAGTCCCAGGCCTCTCCAGGGCTGGCCCTGGGCACCCTGAATATCAGCCCATTTCCCCAAGTTCATGGGACACCCACCAGTCCGACCTCCCTCTGACCGGCCCTGGCCGTGGCCTTGAGAGGAGGCAGCCTCTGGGAGCCCTGCTCTGGGGGAAGCAGCTCTGGGGTGTTGGGAGGGTTGGGGAGACTCTAGGAGGAGGTGATGGTGGTTCCAGGTCTTGGTGGTACCAGTTAGTAAAAGGTATTGGGGGATACCTGGGGAAAGGCTGAGAGGGACATTGGGAACTCCTGAGCCCCCAGGAGCCACTAGTATGCTGGACTGTAGGTTTGGGGGACCCTGCGGGTGGGGTACAAGGTAAGAGATAAGGCTGGAGAGGTTGCTAGGGGCTAGATTGGGCAAGACTTTGCAGGCCCTAAATCCTGAGTGAGTGAGTGAATGAATGAGCAGAGGGGTTGGGCCCCAAAGAGCTGTAGTCAGATTTGGGCCCCCCTAGAGCAGGGAATTACAGGCACTAGGATGAGAGCCCGGGGTATAGACACTCCTGAGATGGATGGGGAGCAAGGGGACAGATTCTAGTGGGGAAGGACACAGCCAGGTGTGAGGGGCACAGGAGGGGGCAAGATGGGAAGTGAGGAAGTGAGGCAGCTCCCACTGCTCAGATGCCGGGCACCTGGCGGGCACCATTCCAGAAGGAGGATGGCCAGCCGGTGAGAGGAGGAGGACGGAGGGAGGAAGAAGGGCCCGGCCTGGCAGGGGGCGGAGCGCCTCACAGGGGCAGAGGGAAGGAGGGGCAGGCTTCCCAGATGCTCCTGTGGGGGTGGGAGACGGGCCCTCTCCCGCCCCTGCCTCCACCCCAGGCCCTGGTCCTTCTGTCCATCCTCAGCGCTCACCCTGGGTGTCAGGCCAGGGGAATGCTGGTCCCACGGGCGTGGCTTTGAGGCCACCTGTGAATGCAAATGAAGAGTCTGAGTGTGAGTGTGAGTGTGTCGGCCGTGCCAGCATGCAGGTGGAAGTCTCGGAGGCCATGGGACTGTCCTGTATTTTATTGTGCAAATATCTCCACGCACATAAATGTGTGGGTATCAAGATCTGCCTGTCACCATGTCAGCGGGAACACAGACATGGGCATGTCTGTCTGGGTTGCCCTGATGTGACCATACCAGGGTGTGTGTGTGTGTGTGTGTATGTGTGTTCACTTCAGGAAGTGAGTGGATGACCCTGTGAGTGTGTGAGAACGTGAGCTGAGGCCCCTTCCCCAGCCGAGGGTGGGCGTGTGGGACCCAGGCAGTCATGTGGCCCCACCCACGTGTGTCCAGGCAGACCTGCCCCCACGCCCCGCACAGCGTGGCATTCGCTTGCAGACACAGCACAAAACACAAAAGCAGTGCGTACCCCTGGGCCTGGCAGCAGGCCTTTGTGTGTGAAGGGCCCTTCATCTCCCTCTGCACACACCTGCCCGGTGTCAACTCTGCTGCTTCAGGGCCCTGAGCTGGCCGGGCTGGCGTGTGAGGAGGGCTGGGAAGCTCGGGCCCTGGGTGTTGGGGCTGGGAGGGCTCCTGGGGCCTGTGGAGAGGCTGCCCCGCCTGGCACAGCTCCACGGCTGGGCACACGGACTCCCCAGTCCCTGATGAGAGCTCCTGCCCGTGGCCGCCGCCCTGACCCAGGTCTGCCCGCCCAGGTGGAGCTGAGCACGGTGGCCGCCCAGGCCGGCTCCCTGCTGCACAGCCTGGTGCTGCGGGCGCAGGAGCTCGTCCTGCAGCTGCACGCGCTGCAGCTGGACCGCCAGGAGTTCGTCTGCCTCAAGTTCCTCATCCTCTTCAGCCTCGGTGAGTGGCAAGGGTTTGGGGAGGGGGCTGGGCTGGCCCTGAGGGGGCTGTGTGCTGGGGGCTCAGGGGGGCAAAGACCCTCCCTCCGTGAGGGGACCTGCTCTGACAATGGGAGTTGCTGTCTCTCGGGCCTCAGTTTCTCTCTTTGAAAATAGAGCCAATATGTCTAGGACTGGCCCTTTATGAAATGCGGACCCTTCTGAGAATTCGGTGAATTCCCAGCTGAAAGGCGGAGACAAGTGCCCCTGCCACCTCCAGGGAACACCGTGCCCTTCCTGGAGCTTCTGTTCCCTGGTCTCCTCCTGCGGTCCCTGTTTTCCCCAGTTTCCTGTTCTTCGGGGGCGGGGCGGTGCCTCCAAAGTCTGACTCTGAGCTCTTTGGGGCCCACACACCTTTGCCCATTCGTCCATTCATTCATTCTACAAACTTTTGCTGAGCAACTGCCCTGTGCAAGCAGCAAGGATACACAATGAACAAAAAAGACCCAAATCCCTATTTGCAAGGAGCTGACTTTTCTTGGGGGGAGAGGCAATGAGCAGGAGATGTCGGTTCAAATATGTAAATTGGTGGATGCTTAGTGAAATGATAGCCCGAAAGATTGCGGTAAGCGGTAAGGAGGGGAAAATGCAGGGAAAGGGGAGAGGGCGAGCCCAGCCACCCGCCTGCCCGCGCCCCAAGGCTCTGGGGTTGCCCCCGTTGCCTTCCCTACCCGCCCAGCCTGTGCTGCTCCAGTCTCCACCGTCCTCTCGGCTCTCAGCAGGGTGGCCTCCTTCCGTCCTCCCTCTCCCAGAAGCCATCTCCATCCACGGTCCTCCCTGTGCCCAGCGATGCTGCGAACATAGTTTTCCTTACTTTCAGGTGGCTCCCCGTCCAGGCAAGGCCTCCAGCCAGTCATCAGGACTGGACAGAGACACGGGGGACCCAGGGTGGGAACAAGGACTCTGCCTGGTAGGCTTCCTGGAAGAGGGACATCTGAGCAGGGTCTCAGAGGATGCGTAGGAGTTGGCTGGGGGGATAAACCTTTCTCAGAGGCGTCGGTGGGATGGAAGGTGGGAACAGGGGCATGAATGCCTCCTCACCCGGGGAGGAGGCAGGATTTGAGACTTAGTCTTTGTGGCAGATGGCATCATAGGCACAGCCTGGCAATGGTGTGTCTACCCAAGAGTGGGGGCGTTGGGGAAGAGGTGGGCTGGAGCGGGGATTGTGGAGTGTTGGCTGTGCTCAGTCCATGGCCGTGGGGCTGGGTGCCTGGGCTGGTCTTCTCACTCAGCAGGCTGGTAGCCGAGGGCTCATCTGCAAGGCTGCAGGGTTTGGTAGGGGACAGCCATGGTGGGGCTGGGGTTTGAATCTTGAGCAGCCGGCTAGGAGGGTGACCTGAGGCCCTCGGAGGAGCCGCAGGGGCGCAGGCCAGGCTGGCTCCAGCAGGGGGAAGCCCCCCTTCCTCTGCCCCCAGTGGTACCCTCCTCCCAACCTTGCTGAGAGCTGCCGGGCTCGGGGACTGGCTCGGGCCGAAGCCGTGGACGGCTGTGGTTGGGGATGTGGAGACTCCAGGAGCTTGGTGTGTGTGTGCGCCTTTGTGTTGGTGTCTTCGTTTTCACACAAGTGCAGACTGTGGGCTCCTGCAGGCTCGTGTTCTTGTGGGTCACATTGTGGAGACTGAGTGTGACTGGGGAGTGATGGGGGAGGGAGAGGAGGGCTTTGGACTGCTGGGTGGTGCTTGGGTGCTGGGGTCCGTAGCATGGGCGTGTGGGCTCTGTGGTAGCCTGGGTGGTGTGTGAGGTGACCTGACCACCATCAAGAGGCCACCAGGAAGGTCCTGGGGAGGGTTGGTGGAGGGGGTGCTGCCAGCCACCCACCCTGGTCCCTCCATCTGTCCGTGGACACGCCCTGCAGGACAGGGACCATGTCTTGGCTTTCAGGCTGCCCGGGCCTGAGGCCCATGCCCTGTGGCCCCGGCCCCCTTCCCGCCAAAACCCAGGCGCTGGGGCTGCCGGGTCCAGCAGAGCCCTAGTCTCCGGCAGGAGATCAACCCAGAAGCCAGCACAGCTAGCCCAGCCCTCTTCCCGGGGCCAGGCGAGGCGCCACGCTCAGAGCCCGGGTGCCCACCCCTTCGTGCTAACCTTCATCCTGTTCTCCGGAGGAGGCAGCTGAGGCCTGAGAGCCCGCGAGTCCACAGCACTTGTGGGACCAGGCTGGAGGGGTGGGGTGGAGGAGGGGTGTGTGTGTGTGTGTGTGTGTGTGTGTGTGCGCGCGTGTGCTATGTGTGCACTCATGCCAGGCAGGAATCGGTGGTGATTAGCAATGGGGACTAGCTACGGACCACCTGGATTCTAAATCTGGACTCTCGGGCTGTGTGTCCCTGAGGAAGTCACTCCCCTCTCTGAGCCTGTCTTGCCCCAGCCTAATAATCCTTAACTTGCTATGAGGATTGAATCAGAGAATTCCCTCGGAATGTGTGCCAGTACTGCCTTCATCATGACCATCATTATTGAGTTAATGAGCAAATGAACACGTTAATGGATGGAGTGAATGAATGAGCGAGTCGGTCTCCATCTTCACTGCACGGCGTGTGTCTGGCACAGGGCCTGCCCTTTGGGGCTGGGGTGGCCAGGGGAGAGCACGGGGCCCTGCAGGCCGGAAACCCTAGCAAGGCTGGGGCCACGGGAGGAGGCCACCCTGGGGCCTGGGCCTGCGGGAGCTCATGGAGGGCAGGAGAGAGGCGGCCACGTGAGCCGTGGGCAAGGCCTTGAATGCCGGGCCCTGTGCCTTGACCCTTCCCTCGGGAAGGACCGTCAGCTGGCGTCACAGGACCAAGTCTGCAGTTAGCAAGGTGCTTCCCACGCAGCCTGGGAAAGGGCCTAGCCCTGCGGGCGGGAGGGCCACGTGGAGAAATCTGGGCATGGTGAGGGGGGAGATATGCCCAGAGTCTGGGAAGTGACCACCAGAGCTGGGTGCCCAGACCTCCAGCTGGCATGTGGGCATCCCCCTTCCTGGGCTGCGCAGCCTGGACCCGGGTGATGCCTGCCCGCCCCCCCACCCTCCCGCCCGCTCAGCACCCCCTTCTCGCCTGCCTCCGCAGAAGGGTGCCATTTGGTGTCTAAATAGCCGTCTCAGGCAGGCGAGGAGGCAGGTAAGGAGGTTTAATTAGAATTAGTGCCTCTCTCCTGGCAATCACGGTGTTTATGAAGATGGCCCGGCGGGCTTTGTTCCCCAGAGGACTTAATCGAAGCTTAATGGATTGACCTAACATTCGATTTCCTGACTTCCATTGAGGCGGCGGCAGCAGCATTCCCTTAAGCGTTTGCAATTTACCCACTGCTCCGCGCCAACAAAAGGCAGCCTGAATAGCAGCCCCACTCGAGGGGCCATTGTGCGCGGGGGCGCCTGCCTGAGTCACCACTATTGGGACAACATTCTTTATGCCTCGCTGGAATGAAAGGATTATTCAAATATTCAATTAAACCGTGAAAAGGGGGCTTTGCTGAGAACCTGGGGGCCCCCAGCTCCGCAGAGCTAGCGGGCTGCTCTCCGAGGCGGGGCGGGGGTGCCATCTCCCGGCCCCTCCCGCCTCCACCACCAGGACTGCCGGGAGCTGAGCAGGCTCGGGGACCCACGCAGGCTTGTCTCGAAGGTGCCCCTCTCCAAGCTGCGGCAGCTCAGCGCCAGGGCTGGGCACACCGGCCCCTCCCCTCCACCACCAGGACTGCCGGGAGCTGAGCAGGCTCGGGGACCCACGCAGGCTTGTCTCGAAGGTGCCCCTCTCCAAGCTGCGGCAGCTCAGCGCCAGGGCTGGGCACACAGATTGGATCCTGTTCGTGGGTGCCTTGGGAGGCGGAGGGTGATCAACCCCCATTTTGCAGACCATCGGGAAGCCGAGGCTCCCACAGGGGAAGGGACTTACTTGCCCAAGGTCACCGGCTGGAGGTGGAGGTGGGATTTGAACCCCTGACACGTAAAGGGGCGCCTCCAGGTTTGTGTGAGCCCTGCTCCTCCTCTGATGGGTGAAGGGCGTGGTGTTCTGTAGGATGTTACCTCTGTTACACCCATTACCCCACCGTCTCCACACGGTCCTGTTCGCGGGGGTGGCGGGTGGAGGGTGGGGGGGGTTGCTGGGAGGCTGGGAGAAGGGGCGGGACTGGACCGTGGTCTCCTCTAAGGTGAGGGCCACAAAGTTGAGTCTGGAGCCTAGAGTAGCCTCCCTGGGGAGCCCTGGGAGCCCAGGTGGGAGGTCTTGGATGGGACTCCTGGATTGGATGAAACGTAAAGTTACCACGTCCAGTCTTCCAGGAACCAAGACCCAGCTTGAGCCCATCCCTGCTCACTCTTAGGGCTTTGGAGCCAGAGAGACGTGGGTCTGAATGCGGACTCGGCATCTACTCTGTGTCCCAGGCACACCCCGCTGTCCCTACACCAGGGGGTGCCCTTTCCTGCCTGCCTGAGTGTCTGTGGATTAACTGAGCTGGGAGCAAGGTGTCTGGTGGTGCTCAGCAAAGAGCCGCGGGACCCTCGGCGCTGCTGGGAGGGGCTGTCCCCGAAGGCGTGCCTGTTCTGCACCAGCCCTGCCCTCCGCCCTGCCGTCCCTGGTGCAGGGCTGCTGAGAACAGTAAATCCGGGAAAAGCCAGGCTGGTCCTCCTGCCCCCTCCCCCGCCTGCCTCTACTGCAGCATCCCAGCCAGTTTCCCCCTCCTGCCCCCCTCTGCCCCCCTCAGCTACTTCCTCTGGGCCCTCTATGGCTGTGTGGCCTTGAGCTGGTCCCTACCCTTCCCTGGACCCCCAGCCCTACTGTGAATTGTCAGAAGACAATGTCAGGAGAATTGCCCAGCCTGGGGGATGTGGCTGTGAAGGAGAGGGGACAGTATTAAGATGGAAAAAGGCTGCCATAGGGATGGAACTAGGTAGGGGGCAGGGGGAAGGTGGGGGCTTCCCATGACCTTTAAGTGCGTCCGTCCAGAGCAGGCCAAGCTAAGGAGCAGGACTGCCGGTTGCTCACTGCAAGGGCCCCCCGGGCAGGGAGCAAGCAGGGGCTGGTATCCAGCTTGTGTGCCCCCCGCCCGGCTGTTTCTGTGGACAAGGGGGAACTTCTGTCCAAGTGGCACGAGGTGCCGTACGGACTGGAGGCGACCCCGGGGAGGCCAGGAAGATGATGACCCTGGCTTCCTTACTGAAGGGAGGTGAGGGGGCTGGGCGCGGGGGTGGAGGATCGGGTCCCGGTCCTGCCATACGCCCTGGGCCCAGCTCGTGTTTCCCTAAATCCAACTTTGGACAACACAGGCCACAGCGGGCACACTGGGGGCGGCTGGGGATCAGGGTTGCCAGGAGCCCCAGCTCTCCTGGCGCAGTGGGTGTTAAGAGGGATTAGGAGGGCCAAGGGCTGCACACACCGCCTGCAGGGGTAGGGCTGGGGCTGAGGGGGTGGAGGGGATGTGGACAGACAGACGACCATTTTCTGAGCCTCTGGATGCCACGTCCCAGGCGAGTCCCCGCTAGGATTTGGGGGTGAGGGACCAGTTCTGTGGATTCCTGCTCTCCCTCAGCCTCCAGACAAGGCACCACCTGGACACGCTGTCTGGGAGCTGAAAGACACCCGCAAGCTGTGATGAGGGTTCGGGCGACAGGACTGACCCTTGCCTGGCACTCCTGGGGGCCGGGTACCCGTGCAGGCCTCTGCACCCACGCTCTTGCCCCTGTAAGGTGGGCACAGCCCCTTTCAGAGGAAGAAGGCCTTTTGGGCCGGGAGGGGGCAGGGTGCAGGCACTGCTCCTAAATGATGGGGCTGGGATTTGAGCCCCATCCATCTCACTCCAAAGACATTTTTTTCCTGGTCTTTTCACTGGACCTTGGTGTGGGGGGTGCATTGACCACACTCCTCTGTCCGTGCACAAAGGACCACTGGCCGGTGCAGAGCCAGCGCCCTCGGCTCCCTGCCATGGGCAGCGTTCCTTCCCGTGTAGCTCGGGGCCTCTTGTTTGTCCCTGTTCTTACATAACCTGCCTGCTTTGTGCACACGCTTCTAATTTATGTAGAGATCTTTGCCTTATAGACCTCATTCTGGATCTACCGGGTCTGTTTTTTTCCACTCAGCCTGCTGCTTGTAAAGACTCATCCATTTTCTCTGTGTTATCTGCTCCAGCACTACTACCTACAGGCCACCTCCCCGTCACCATGAATACCGCTACGGTGGGCATCATGGCCCCGGGGCCCATGGGGGAATCTCCTGGTGGTACTGGAGCCTCTGGATGGTCAGCGGGTGGACCCAAGGAGCCCGGTCACCCTCTAGAATGGGGCCGCCAGTGCACACGCCTCGCAGCTATGAGGTGGGACCCTCCCACTCACACTGGTCCTCCCTGGTGCTGGGGACAGTGATGACTGGCCAGGAGACGATGCTGTGGTGACCACCCTGGGGATGATGGCGACGGCCTGGTTTTGACCTCGGGGATGGGAACGGTGATGAGCATGGCTGTGGTGAGAGTTGGGATAATCATAACTGGCCCAACCGACAGATTGGGCCGTATTACATGCCAGACACTGTTTCCTAAACACCTTCCACGAATCAACTCCCTGAAGCCTCCCGACCGTCTTGTAAAATAGGTGTTATTGTCACTGCTCGTTTCACAGATGAGGAACTTGAGAGGTTAAATAATAAGGCCAGGGATAGCCGGTGAGGTGGGGGATGGTCTTGGTGAGGACGGAGGTGTTCGTCGTGACCGCTGAGATGGCAGCGGCAGTCCTGACGGCGGCAGGTGCGGGTGGTTGGGCAGTTGAGGGTGTGTTTGTAATAACCACAGGGATGTTGGTTCTGGTGACTGTGGGTGGCGGCGGTGCTCAACCGCGGTGATGGCGGTGATGGCGGTGATGGTGGTGATGGTGGTGATGGTGGTGATGGCGGTGATGGGGACGATCAAGGTTTGGCTGATGAGGGCAGCAGTGGCCATGTTTGGGGATGTCACTGTTGGCGATGGATGATGGTGGCAGAGTTCATCACCCACGGCGGTGACGGTGGAGATGGGGATGTGGTGGTGTCGGGGAAACTGCTCGTCTGGTTGATGGTGACGGTGGCAGAGCCTGGGTCTTTGGTGATCATAGGGCTGTCGGGGCCGGTGACGCAGCGACGGCTGCTGGTGTGATGGCGGCGGTGCTGACGGGCCCCTCCCTTTGCAGATGTGAAGTTCCTGAACAACCACAGCCTGGTGAAGGACGCTCAGGAGAAGGCCAACGCCGCGCTGCTGGATTACACCCTGTGCCACTACCCGCACTGCGGGGACAAGTTCCAGCAGCTGCTGCTGTGCTTGGTGGAGGTGCGGGCGCTGAGCATGCAGGCCAAGGAGTACCTGTACCACAAGCACCTGGGCAACGAGATGCCCCGCAACAACCTGCTCATCGAGATGCTGCAAGCCAAGCAGACTTGAGCCTGGGCCGGGCGGGGCCAGGACCTGGACCGGGGCTGGGGGAGGGGTCACGGCCACCCGCTCAGCCCTCCAGATGGTTTATTTTATTATGCTGACCCAGGAGCCCCACCCTGTAGGCCGATGCCCCCTCAGCTCTCTGAAGCCCTGTGTTTGGGAAATGAGTGAGGGTGGGCAGCGCCTGGCCAAGGTGGGTGGCCCCGCTAGCCACTGGCACTTGCCTGACACTCAAGTGCCCCCAGGCGGTGGCTGCTAGCCACCCTCTTCCCCTCCTCCTGCTCCCCGCTCCCAGTTGTCTGTCCTGGAGCCTGGAGCACAGGTCCAGGGAGGAGGTTTGGGAATTCCTGGTGGGCCTGGATGTCCCTTAGGTCAGAAGTCATCCCTTCCCCTCTCCTGGAAACAGAAGCAGAAAGAGGTTGAGTGGCATCAACTGGGGGAGGGGGGTCCCCAGAACCCCCTCCAAGGGACCAGGAGGGAAGCCCTCTGTTTAGTAAACTGGGGCTGACAGTTTGCAAAATCGAACAGGGACTAGAGGACACTGGGAGATGGTGAGGACAGAGAGACCTCCTCCTCAGCCCTCTACCCCCTCTGACTCCTGCTGGGGAGAGCGTTGACGTGTTATCTGAAAAGAATTTTGCTACAATCATCTTTCTCTCCCTCTCTCACCGGAGAAGTTCGGCACAATCAGCAGTCTAGCCCCGCCCACAGCTGGCCCGCCCAGGCTGGTATTTATCTGCACGGCTGCCAGGCAGTAGGCAAGAGGTTTTCTGTTTTGTTTGTTTTTGAATCGAGATACTCCTTGCAAGGTGTGTATGGGTAGGGGGCAGACTGGAGGACTGAGGCCGGGGCCTGGGGCTAGCACCAAGTATAGCCCATGGTTCCTCCCCACACGCCCTCGTATGAAGGACCCCACCGGTGGTGCTGGGCCATGGTTTCCGGGACCCCACTCCAATCCAGAGGAGAGCTGTCGCTTGCCCCTCACCCCGTCCGATGAACATCAGGGTGCCCTGTGGAGCTCAGGGTCTCTGTGGGTGGGAATACAGGTGGCCTTGGGGAGGGTGCATGGGTCTCCAGATCAGGGACATGGTGGAGAAGCCCTTCCTCGTTGGCCCTGTCCCATTAGGTCCCTTGCTGCAAACCCTCGAAGCTGGACCCCAACTCCCTGGCCTCCTGCCCTATGTCCTGAAAGACACTCAGGCACTAGGGAGAGGCCTCAGCTGTCCTCTGTCCTGGGCTGGGCACCCACCCATCCTGCTTTCACGTCACCATTGCAGCTTGCGCTGAGCCTGCCCAGGGACTGGGCTCCCCTGCCCCCTGCCTTCCTGTCTCAGTCCCCACCCCTGCCCACTGAAGCGTGTGCCCCTGCCAAGGCCGGACACCCACAGCCCCAAACGAGAAGTGCCCTTAAGAACCCCAGCCCCCGTAGTCCTGGAATAAATTTTGCAATTAGTTTCCAGCTACCTTTGGCTATTTCCATTGTGGAGCAAAGCAGAGCCTCCTGTGTGGGCTCGGGTGGGGCCCTGCTCTGCCTGGGATGGTGGTGACACTCAGATAACCTTTGGTTCAAAACTCTGGGCAGGCAGGATAGGGGGTGGGGGAATATCAGGCCCTGTCGGGGGCTTTGGGCCCCTTCTCATCCCTGGGATCCTGCCATGTCTGGGAGACGCGGGAGCCTTCGGGGCTCAGTCTTCATTCCATCCTGGCTGTGCAGCTCCGCCACCCTCTTGGGCGGAAGAAGCGAGCATTTAATGAGCACCTACTGTCCCTGCAGTGGCCCAGGGAGACAGCAGTTACCACCCAGGAGGGTGCCCCTTGGCCAGTGACCTGCAGGGACAGTCAAACCTGGGTCCACGGGACTGGAGAGCACTGGCCGGGTCCTCTGTCCACCTGGTGGCCAGCCGCAGGCCCGCGGCCTGGTTCTCTGGCGATTCCCTTGCCTCCCCCTCCCCAGCCACTTGGTGGCAGCAGTGAGCACGGCCGACATCGGAGGCTTCCTGGGCTCCAGGTGCCTTCCCGGGCTTTGCGGCTTCCGTCTCGTCTGGTCTGTTCTCCAGAGCCCGCTATGGGCGCAGAGGGGAGAAGCCGCCTGCCCCAGGCCACACACTGAGCAGGGGCAGGGCCTCATGCAAACCTTGACGCTGCTTGACCAAACCTGGTTTGTCCTCAGGGCCACTCCTGATCCTGCCTCTGTGCAAATCCAGAAAAGGCGCCCCCTCTAGGGCAAGGTGGCCCGAGGCACAGAGCTTGGCAGTGGCTTTCATGCAAAGACGAAACATCCCTTGCCCTCTTGGCACCTTCTGAAGTGGAGCAGGTGCCCTGGTTCCTGCCCCCGCGGAATGTCCACTTTTGTAGGAGACTTACTCAGATCGTAATCCAATGTGACACATCATGTGACTGAGTCAGACAAGATGAGAAGTGACTCATTCTGCTGGGGGTCGGGGGGTGGGGGGTGAGGGCAGGAAGTCTCCATAGAAGGGGTGTCATCCAAACTGGGTTTTGAAGGACTGATTCCCAGGAGTTTATCAGTTAGACAACTGTTGGGGGCAGTCCGGCAGAGGAAGCAGTGCGAGCAAAGGGATGGAGGGGTGTCAGTGTTTGGGGACCCAAGAGAAGTTATTTTGTTTGGAGAGTAAAGAGACTGTATGGGAGGAAGGGTATGGAGCAGGTGGAGGGGAGACTGGACAGGACTTCTTGGTCCCAGGCCCCTCCCCCCACCAGTCTGTATTACTTGGGGGTGGGGGGAGACATGAGCCCTCTGCAAGTGAAGGGAGGGGTCAGAGGGCTTTGTGAATGCCGGCAGTAGGACCGCCAAGTGCCTCGCCCAGTTCAGCGCAGCCTGATGTCCCCTGTTCTGCAGATGGTGGGCGGGGCTTCCAGAGGTTCAACAGTCCCCCATCCCCAGAAAGAAATACCCAGGTATCTGTCCACCCCCACCCCACTCCCCATAGAATCAGTCACTTCATGTCTCCCCCCAGAAGAAACCCGGGCAGAGCCCAGCGTAGAAGCAACTTCTAAGGCTGCAGAGGGGCTGGGTGCAGCTTATACCCCCAAGGGTGGCCGCCCTGACGCTCCTCGCCTGTGCCCCTCACTGTGCCCGCCCTCTGGCCCCAGCAGCATTTGAGCCAGGCCGAGGTCAACAGCACAGTTAGCCTCTGCACCCTGAGTCCCGGCCCCTGGGCACCCCTTTGCCTGGTCCTTGCCTTGGGGCCTGCCCTGGTCAAGCCCTAACACACCATCCGTGTTCCTCACCGGGGCCCTGAAACCATTCTGCCCTAGAGACACCCAGACTCCGAGAAGAATCTTGCCTGTAGCACAGAATGGAGAGTGGCAGGACCTGGTGGCACCGCCAGGCCTGGAGTCAGGCACCTCCTGAAGCAAGACTCTCCTCAGACCTGGAGCCAGGCCTGCCCGCCCTGGCGCCGCCTCTGAGCAGTCTGCCTGCTCCCATTCACAGGCTCCGGTGTTAACCGGGTGGGAGTCCGGGTCTCTGCACAATGGGGTGATGGGGGCCCCCAGGCTGAGGTGAGGACCTGCGGCTCGAAGGCTTCAGCACCAGTTGGGTACGCAGCAGGTGCTAAGTGTGGGCTGCACCTGCCCTGATGGTGAAGCCGGGCCATCCAGAGTCCAAAGCCAAAGTGGCAGCTCCCCTGTCCCTCTCCCCTCCCAGGGAGCCTGGCATCCTGTCCCCGTCCCTGGGCCAGGTCATCCCGGAGCGGGACAGGTCACAAGAACAGTTTTATTAGACACCACAGGGCCATCTGAACTTCAGGGCAGGTGGGGAGGACCGAGGGGAGGGACAGCCACTGACAGAAAGCTGTCTGGGGACAGAGCTGTGGGACCCGTGGGCTTAGCGGGAGCATGGGGGGCGGGAGAGGCTAAGGCTGCTGGAGCAGGCAGTGGCCCACGCTGCTGTCCGTCCCTCCGGGGCCTCCATTTGGGCTTGGAGAAAAGTCCCCAAGCCCGCTAGAAACCTGGGAGGGAAGGGCACCCTTTGGGCTGGGCTGACAGAACCAGGGTGGGTGACCCCGGGACCCCCCCAAGATGGGGAGGGGCTGGGAACTGAGGCTGGGGTAGGACCTTGGGTGGGAGTCCCGGTCTGGGTGCCCTGGTTAGTCTTCCTCATTCCCCCTCTGAGCCTGTCTCTCCATCCAAGCCACGCCTGTGTGCCCGGTGGGCGTCCAGGAGGGCACAGCGCTGGCAGCCCGCGCTCCTCCCTG